AAATAATTTTATTGTGGGAAGATATATATAAATTTTTTTTTTCATTTTAACCAGTTTTAATTGTATAATTCAGTGACATAAACTACATTCACCATGTTGTGCAACCATCACCACTATCTATTTCCAAAAGTTTTTCAACACCCCAGACAAATTCAGTGCACCTTCTGCAGTAACTCCCCATCCTCGCTTTCCCAGCTTCTGGTAACCGCTAATATATTTTTGATTCTATGACTTTTATATATTGTAGCTATTTCTTGTAAGTGGAATCATACAAAATCTGTCCTTTTGTGTCTGGCTTATTTCACTCAGTGTAATGTTTTCAGGTTTCATTCATGCTGTAGCATGTGTCAGAACTTCATTTCTCTTTATGTCTGAATAATATTTCACTGTATGATGTACCACTGTGTTGTTGTTTATCCATTCATTAGTTGATGGACACTTTGTTTGTTTCCACCTTTTGGCTGTTGTGAATAGTGCTTTAAGGAACATTGGAGTACAAGGATCTGTTTGAGTTCCTGCTTTAAAGTCTTTTGGGTATACACCTAGAGTGAAATTGCTGAGTCATATGGTAATTCTGTGTTTAGCTTTTTGAGCAACTGCCAAACTATTTTTCACAGTAGCTGCAATATGTTATATTTCCACCAGCAATACACAAGTATTCCGTTTTCTCCTTGTTCTTGCCAACACTTGTTTTCCATTTTTTGATAATAGCCATCTAGTGGGTGTGAAGTGGTATCTCACTGTGGTTTTGATTCCCATTTCCCTGATGACTAATGACTTTGAGCGTCTTTTCACATGCTTATTGGTCATCTCTAGGTCTGCTTTGGAGAAATGTTTATTGAAAATCCTTTGTCTATTTTTAATTTGGATTGTTTATCTTTTTGTTGTTGAAGTCAATTGACTTTTAACAAGGACGCCAAGACAATTTAGTGGGAAACTAGTCTTTTTAACAAATGGTACCGGGACAACTGGATAAAACCCAAACCAAACCCATTGCTGTCAAGTTAGTTCCGACTCATAGCGACCCTATGGGGCAGAGTACAACTGCCCCACAGGGTTTCCAAGGAGTGACTGGTGAATTCAAACTGCTGACCTTTTGATTAGCAGACTTAGCTCTTAACCACTGTGCCACCAGGGCTTAGACTTCTGCCTCACACCGTATAAAAAAATTAACTGAAAATGAATCATACACTTTAAAATAGGTGTTAAAAACTATAAAACTCTTAGAAGAAAACTTACGAGTAAATCTTTGTTAGTCTGTGGTTTCTTGGATAATGACACTGAAAGCAGAAGCAACAAAAGAAAAAAATAGGTAAATTGGACTTTCTGAGAATTAAAAACTTCTGTGTTTCAAACCATACTACGAAGAAACTGAAAAGACAATTCACTGAATGGGTGAAAACATTTACAAATCATGTTTCTGATGTGGGGCTGGAGTCCAGAATATATAAATAACACAACTCAATGAAAAAGACAAATAACCTACTTTAAAAATGAGCAAAGGATTTGAATAGATGTTTCTCCAAAAAAGACATTCAGATGGCTAGTAAGTACATGAAAAGATGCTCAACATCATCAGTCATTAGGGAAATGCAAAATCACAATGAGATACCACTTCATACTCACTATGGCTGTAATAAAAAAGACAGATAATAACAAGTATTGACAAGGCTGTGAGGAAATTGAACATATGTTGCTGGTCATAATTGAAAATGGTACAGGTGCTTTGGTTTGGCAATTCCCCAAAATGTTAAATATAGAGTTATCTTATGATCCAGTAATTCTACTCCTCGTTACATCCAAGAGAAATGAAAATGTATGTTGACATAAAAACTTGTATGTGAACATTCATCTGTTGTTGTTGTTGTGTGCTGTTAAGTGAATTCCAACTCATAGCAAGCCTGTATGACAGAGTAGAACTACCCCATAGGGTTTCCTAGGCTGTAATCTTTACAGGAGCAGATTGCCAGGTCTTTTCTCCTGTGGAGCTGCTGGTTGGGTTCAAACTGCCAACCTTTTGGTTAGCAGCTGAGGGCTTAACAGTTGTACTACTAGGGTTCCTTTGAACATTCATAACAGTGTTATTTATAATAGCAAAAAAAAAAAAAAAATGAAACAAGCCAAATATCTATCAGAGGATGAATGGATAAATGATATGTGGTATATCCTAACAATGGAATGTTATTTGGCCGTAAAAAGGAATGTAATACCAGTACATGCTATAATGTGGATGAACCTTGAAAGAAGCCAGTCACAAAGACCTTATACTGTATGAGTCTATCCATATGAAATGTCCAGAAATGGGAAAATCTAAAGGGACATAAAGTAGGTTAGTGGTTACTTAGGGCTTGGGTGGGAGAGGATGTGAGTGACTGCTAATGAGTATGGGATTTCTTTTGGTGGTGATAAAAATGTTCTAAAATTAGTAGTAATGGATGCACAACCCTGTGAATTTACTAAGAAACATTGAATTATATACTTTAAATGGATGAATTGCATGGTATGTGAATTATGTATCAGTAAAGCTGTTTAAAAAAGTGATAGGTTCATGGTTGAAGGTTTCCAGTAGGATGAAAGATTGTTGAGTTGGAAGATATATCTGTGTAGATATTGAAATCACTAGTGATTCTGATAGAAATAGTTTTGGAAAGAGTACTGGTGAGTTGGGAACCAACAGATTAAAAAATTAAGGGGTAGTAGACCTGAGGGAGAGTAGGTGGATAATTGTAACAGGAGGGATATTTGGTAATGTAGTTTGGTGGCATAAGAGGTAAAGCTGAGTGCTTTTATGGAGAGAGGGAGACTATCCTGAAAGTGGAAATGAGGAATATGAAGAATATGTACTTCATGTTCAAGGCCTAAAATACAAGAGGTATAGAAGAGAAAGCAACTACCACTTCAGAAAGGCCCACAGGGGAAGTAGGTTCATTAAGAAAGAGAGTATGTTAGTGTATATTATGTTGTTGTTGTTGTGTGCCATCCAGTCTGTTCCGACTCAAGCGACCCTATATAACAGGAGAGGACTGCCCCATAGGATTTCCTAGGTTGTAATCTTCATGGGAGCAGATTGCCAGGTGTTTTCTCCCATGGAACAGCTGGTGGATTTAAACTGCCAACCTTTTCAGTTAGCAGCTGAACACAGCCATTGCACCACCAGGGCACCTTATTATAGACGTTTATATTGTTCATAAGGAGCCCTGGTGGCACAGATGGGTATGCACTCGGTTGTTACCCACCCAGCGACTGCAGGAGAAAGACCTGGTGATCTGTTTCCATAAAGATTACAGCCAAGAAAACCTTATGGGTCAGTTCTGCCCTGTCACACGGGGTTGCTATGAGTCGAAATTGACTCTGCAGCATCTAATGACAACAACATATTGCTCATAAGACACTTTTGAAGTATAGAAGATAACTTTTAGAATACCTTAAGTTTCCTACATGGGCTTTTTGTTCTTTTACCTTTTTCACTAACTATACATGTCTTGAAGCTTGAGTCTATTTTATGATGGATAACTTGATCAAATTAGTGTTCCTGTTCTCCTCCTATTTAATCTGTTTTACATTGCTAATGTACCAGGTTGCATAATTGATCCCTTCTGATTTACTCACTGTTGCTTTCTGTTAGAACAAGGGATGTGGATACTTGCCAGGTTATGTTTCTAGCTTATAGGAAGTTTGTCACGTCAGTAGGCTGAGGCCTCCCTAGAAATAATGAAGGAGTTGATTAGTTGTAGTATCATAATGACTGTTAATATCCACATGAAATAGCAAGAATGTGTTCTTTTTCTACATTTATTTGTCTTTCCTAAGTCTTCTAAAAAGCACAGTCTCTTTCATGACCATTCAATTTAACACCGTTTTAAAAACACGAAGTTCACTTGGAAAGGTTTGTCAATACAGAAACATAATTGATTATTATGAAATAGCCTGCTCATATTTGAAAAATCAGTCCCCAAATATAGCACACATTTTCTTTTTAGGAAGTAATTGGTGTGTTGTTAATTATTCATAAAACCCATTGCTGTTGAGTCCATTCCGACTCACAGGGACCCTATAGGACAGAGTAGAACTGCCCCATAGGGTTGCCAAGGCTGTCAATATTTTACGAAAGGGGACTGCCACGTCTTTCTCCCACAGAGTGGCTGGTGGGTTCGAACCACCAACCTTTCGGTTAGCAGTGGAAATATTTTCCAGAAGTTTTTGGACAACCTGATAACCTAGATCAGTGAATCCAGAGATGTAAAATAATATGCCTTAAACAAAAATCATTCAATAAATGTCTGCACTTCTAAGTTAGTCAATTTTGGATGTCCTAAAATAAGATTTGTGAAAACTGTAGACATTGCTATTTGTGCCACTGTTGTAAAACTGTTTAATCCTTTGCTGTTATTGGCCAGGAGGTTAATTTGGCTGTCAAACAATGTAAGTTGCGCATTGAAAGTGTGTGATTTTTAAAAATCTTACAGAAAAATACAAAAGGAATAAATTTATTAACATATTTTATGTTTCAAGCAGGGGTGATATTAAAAAATGATTAGACTGGTACTATCATGACATTTACCATTCAGTAAAGATGCTGATCATTGGATCAGTACTTAACGACCGAATCACATTCCTGGTTCTAGACATTACCTTTGGTGTTTATTAAACTTTATTTTAGTAATAAGTCTTCATGGTAGATATTACTTTTGCCATTTTACATATGAAAATCCTAAGACTTAAAGAGGTTAAATAACTTAATGCAAGATCACATAGCTGATTGGTAGAGCTAGGATTCAAACATAGCTCTGTCTTACTCTAAAATCTTCATCATTTCTACTATAATACTGGCTTAATAAACTTAAAACCCAACTCTCAATGCTGTGAAGAATTGAATTCCTAGTATTTATGAGTTGTTTCCAAGAACACATCATTTTGCTAATTTTGGAATTTTTGGAAAAATAAGCTTTGTTTCTATCAAGACTTAGTAAAATTTTTCCTTTCTTATTGTATATTACTAGGGCGTCTTGCTTGGCTGGTATACTTAGTTGGAACAGTTGTAGGAGGAAGATTAACATATACCAGTACAGACGAACATGATGCTATGGATGGAGAGTTATCTTGTCGGTAAGTAATGGCCATATAATTTACAGAAATTTACTAAACACTTAAAACATTTAGTTATTGAGCTGGTATTATGAGCATGTTGCACTTGGCCTTTTGAAGAAGGTATTACTTCCCTTTTTATTGATGAGAAAACCAAGGCTTAGAGGTTAAGTGATTTGTAAAAGATCAAATCTCTAATAAGTAAACCAAAACCAAACCTGTTGCTGTCGAGTCAATTCCGACTCATAGCGACCCTATAGGACAGAGTAGAACTGCCCCATAGGATTTCCAAGGAGTGCCTGGTGGATTTGAACTGCCAATCTTTTGGTTAGCAGCTGAGCCGCTTAACCAGCGTGCCACCAGTTCTCCTTCTAATAAGTAGTAGAGTAAAATTTTTTTTAAACATTGTGCAGGTAGTGTGATATACATTTAAGTTGCTTTTCATGTCTTAGAAACTGACAAAGCATGCAAAATTGATGTGTATAGGGATGATGTACATTCCCCTCCCCCCCAAGAAAAGGATAATCAGTTCCACAACACAGGCTTTGCTTGATTGTTGACTAGATTTTTCATCTAGTGACCACAGCCTTAGTAAGAAGTAACTGAATTATTCTCCTTATGTTTTTATTCTAAAATGAAGAAAATTCTTACAAATGAATGATAAGAGTGAGTTAGGTTGCCATATATTTTATTTTTAATGTATTTACTTACTGTGAACTAATACATATTTTTGTTGAAGACTTAAAAAATTCGACTGAAAAGTAAAGAAAACTCATATTAATCTGGAGATAACTACTACTATCATTTTGAAAAGATTTTTGAGTCTTTAATTAATGGAAGTGACTGTGTGTATGCACATCACATGTATATTTTTTAACCTTTTAAAACAAAATTTAAGTCATACTATAATTTGTTTTGTAAATTGAAATGGAAATAATGATAGTAATTTCTCATTGGGGCTGTTAAAAGGATTAAATGAGCTAATATTTTAAAAAATGCTTAGAACAATGCCTGGCAAACAATAAGCAATATATTACCAAAAACAATTTTTTTTTAATCAAACATAATTTCATGAACATTTTACTCATATATTAAATATTCTAAGCTGTACCATTAATTTATTTAAGCAAACCCCTAGTTTTGGAATTTTAGGTTGTTTCTCAGTTTTTTTCTTATTATAAATTGCTTTTAGGTGAATATTCTTGTAGATATCTTTCTATAGATCTAAATAATTTCCTTAGAGTTAACTCACAGAAGTTGAATAGCTGGTTGAAGGGTATGTAGAATTTTAAAGACTTTGCAATACAGATTACCAAATGACCCTCTGAAAAAGTTGTACCAGTTTATGCTCCCAACCCAAAGGCTATGTGAGAGACCATTTTTCTGCAGTCAAACACTAGATAAAACGATTCTTATCTTTGCCAATTTATAGGTGACACAATGTTTTGTTCTCATTTGTATTTCTTTGGTTACTAGTGGTGTCAGACATTCTTTTCCACTCCTCCTTTTGCCATTTGTATTTCCTCTTTGTAATTTTTTTTACTGGCTTTAAATATTTATATGATCAGATCTGTTAATTTTTTACTTCATATTTTCTCCATTGCTCATGCTTAGAAAGGTTTTTCCATGCCTAGATAATAAAAATATCCACCTATATTTTCTCTTAGTTCTTTTATGATTTCAGCTCTTCATATTTAATTTTTTAATATGTCTGAAATTTATTTTCTTGTATATACTTTTTCCAAAGTGTTAACCTCTTAATGCTAACCCCATTTATTGAATAACCTGCTACTGATTTGAAATGGTACCTATATCTTACACTAAATTCTTGGATCTTTTTCTGGGCTTTTTATTCTTTTCCATTGATATTAGAAGTCTATTCTTACACCTCTACTACCCTATTAAAATCATTATATCTAGTTGTGATAGTCTTCCTTATTATTATTCTTACATATATTTCTAAGTGTTTAATAAATTTATTGTGATTTTGATGGGAAAAATTTTTTATATTCTATACTCTTTTTTAACCTGTAGTCTGTCTTTTCAGTGATACTTGAATCTGAATGGAACATAAGTTTTCTTAGTTCTTCTAAGATTTGTTATTTCTAATATCAGATTAAGTCACTTGAAAACATGAGTAGTAAGTATTTGGTGGCCTTCTTAAAACACTTTGATTAATTTTAAACCAAGTGTACAGTTTACCTCTGTACCATCTCTTCATATATCAAAAAAAAAAAAAAAACCCATTGCCGCCAAGTCGATTCATTGCATATTTAGTAAAGTGAAAATAAAGTACACTTTCTGCTGTAGTTACTCTGATATTTTTAAAGTTTTCACCATCAGGCAGGGAAATAAAACACTGACATTATTTTCCTGAGAATATATATAACAGGAAATTAAAAAAAAAAGAAAGTGTATATTTCATAAGTAGAATTATTTTTTTCTTTAAGCAAGAAACATTTAACTAAATAAGATTTTTTGTGTGTTTTAGCCTGCATTCCCTTCAAAACAGAACCTAAAGTGAATCTTCTATGTTAATGCTTTATTAGGGGGCAGGGAGAGGGGAAGAAAGAATGAAAGAAAAGAGAAAGTAAATGAAAAATAAGAGAAAACAAATACAAGGTGATACATTACCAAGAAAACAACTGGTTGTTCACTTTCACACGGGTTTTCCACAGGTGTGACATGGAACCTCTATGCCTCAAAACAGTGCATGTTAGAGGTACTAAGGGCAAGCAGTTTTATCTCTTGGCTTCTTTCTGTGTCCCATGGAGTGTTTAGCTCTTTCACACTTCTGAGTTGTGTTTCCTGGCTTCATTGAGCAGCTGCTGGGGAAGTCAGAGTTTCCATTGCTCTTGTTGAGTTGGAGCTTTGGCAGGCCTCTTCTCTCCCCTAGGTTGGGTTTATAACCACAGGAACTGGGTGAATCTTTGTTGGGACTACAGGGCAAATGGCTGAGGACAAGTAGGGGTGGCAGGTAGTGGTGGAGTTGGTGGGTGTACAGGCAAGGCCAAGCAGATTGGAGGTGGGGGCATATACTAGTACTTACATATTTGTCTAGAAACAACATAAATATGTGTTTAAAAATATTGAAGTTCAAAAGTAAGAATGATGTTTTATATAAAATTACAAAATATAAATTTCATATGAAAAACTTCTAAGTAACTGGAACAGTAATACTGTTACCTTCTATGTGTTGTATGATACCTGTTCTACTCCTGGGAGACAACAGCCAAATTAGAAAATTGCCACACTCCTGTCAAAAATTTATGTGCCATTTTAGCAGGAAAAGGTTAATATACATAAAAGCTCCTAATACTGTGATAATTTATTATTATAATTAAACATATGCTACTTTAACTTAGCAAATAAATATATTTGTGCTCCAGTCACATAATTCTAATTAATTAAAGATAATTCTATAATTGTTTTGGTTTCATTCATTATGGCTAGACTGTAAACATCTTGAGAGCTTCCCCAGTGATTTTATCTTCATTCTTGTCTCCTCTCAACCCACTAGTGCTAGCAGAGTGCCTCATTCTACTCAACTCCAGTACCTTGCTATTTTTACCTCTTCATCTCCCAGTCATCCCTCATAATTCATTGAAGACTTTGGCAACTAGCTCATCGTTTTGGTCTCTCTCCTAAATCCTACTGTCGTATCAATGAATCTAACTTCTTTTTGAATCTGTGTTAGGTAATGTTATTCTCTTCTCCAGTGGCTTCCTGTGACGCTTGAGAGACAAAATCCAAAGTCCTTGCCATGGCCCAAAGGAGTGTATGCTACTTTTCTGATCTCATTTTATACCCTTTTTTATTCAGCTCAACCATACTGGCCTCCTTGCTGTTCTTTTTATTTTTCTTAATTCTGGTCAAATATTTATGACATAAAAGTTGCCGATTCAACCATCTTTAACTGTACAGTTATATTCACAACATTGTGCAGCCATCACCATTATTTATTTCTAAAACTTTTTATCATCCCAAACAGAAACTCTGTACCCATTAAGCAGTAATTTTCCATTCCCTCCTCCCCCAGTCCCTCCTAACCACTAATCTACTTTCTGTCGCTAGATATTTTAGGTATCTTATGTAAGTGGGATCATACAATATTTGTCCTTTTGTGTCTGGCTTATTTCACTTAGCATAATGTTTTCAAGGTTCATCTATGTCATAGAATGTATCAGAATTTCATTTCTTTATGACTGATTAGTATTCCATGATGGGGATATACTGCATTTATTTATCCATCTGTTGATAGACACGGGTTGTTTCTACCTTTTTGGCTATTGTAAAGAATGCTGTAATGAAGATTAGTGTACAAGTATCTGTTTGAGTTCCTGCTTTCATTTTTTTGGGGTATATACCTAGGAGTGGAATTGCTGGGTGATATGGGAATTCTGGAAACCCTGTTGGCATAGTGGTTAAGAGCTATCTATGGCTGCTAACAAAAAGGTTGGCAGTTCGAATCCACCAGGCCCTCCTTGGAAACCATATGGGGCAGTTCTGCTCTGTCCTGTAGGGTCACTATGAGTCAGAATCGACTCAATGGCAGCAGGTTTTTTTTAATGGTAATTCTATGTTCAACTTTTTGAGGAACTGCCAAACTTTGCCATAGCAGCTGCATCATTTTACGTTTCCATCAGCAATGGATGAGGGCTCCAGTTTCATCACATCCTTGCCAACAGTTGTTATTTTCTGTTTTATTTTTGTTTTGTTTTTAATAATAGCCATCCTAGTGGATATAAAGTGCTATCTCATTATGGTTTTGATATGTATTTCTCTCATAACTGATGACTTCGAGCATCTTTTCATCTGTTTATTGGCTACTTATATATCATCTTTAGAGAAATGTCTATTCATATCATTTGTTCTTTTTTTTTAATTAAGTTATTTGTCTTGTTATTCTTTGAATAATACCAGTATGTTTTCACTTTAGGGCCTTTACACTTTTTCTTCTGCTAGGAGGGCTTTCTCTTACATATCTGTATAGTTTACTCCCTTACTTCAATCTGGTCTAT